TTGTCTACCTCAAAAGCCAACCTCCAGCTCTTGCAACTGTAATGGAATGGAATTAGTGAATATAATGATATGGTTTCTCATATCTTATGTCAGCTCTAGTACGCATCTCATTTATGACACCTGAACAGCACAACTACCCCATAAAATATGGCGGCAGAAGGTACTTTAGGGCAGGTGCTTGGGCTCCAGGCTGTTCCATCAGTAAAGGATGAAGGAATCCAAATCAGTGGCATGCTGCTGTGGACAATGTGCTACCACTTCAAATTCCATTACTCACATCTGGCAAGACACCTACTGGAGTTACTTTAAAGTAGTTTCCTATCCATGCTAAAGTCACCAAACTTGAAGACTCCTGCCTTCAGGAACCTTCTATAAACATTTCTTAACACACACTGATGTGCTTACTGTACTTTCACTCAATTCTGCATCCAGATAAGACAGTAACAACTATTATTTCATAACAAAGTAAACACACCTCTTTGTCTAATGAGATTCTCATTTGCTTTCCACCTAGAAGGCTACCTACTCTGAGGTGGGTCTGATCATCTGCCTGTCAGCTAGGCCACCACTACACTATATTGCGTATTTATGGATCAGTCCAAAAGGAGTATTTGACTGTTGTTCAACTAAACCAGGTGAAAGCCACTGAAATCTGCTTGAACCCCTTAGCACCAAGAATTAGCCATGTCACGCAAGGGTGGGAAATAAACTGCTGCCTCTTGCTCAGAGATATTTCCCTTTTAACAGTTTCAGAATTACATATTGTGTAAGCTTTTCTTCCTTTGACTTCTTTTCTTTAAAACACCATGTTTACCTGTTACAAAAAGGATATAAAAACAGAAACCAAGACATAATTTTAAGATCTATTCTTCACAAACTACAAGCACTTTTAGTACCACAGATATTTCAGAGAGATTTAGAGCCACAGCATAATACCCAATAATCATCACTCACAGAGGCAAGCTCAATACTTGTTCTCAAATGACATGCACTGAAAGCTACAAAAATATCTACAGCTCATGAAGGCGAAAAAAAACCCAGAACCAAATAAAAACCTACAACATAATTTGCCATGAAAGCCTGGACAGTATTGAATGGTTGGATCTCTCTCTCTTACATTGTCATGAAACAAGGCAAAGTCTATATTATATAAACCCCAGGATTTATTTATTTTTTTCCCTAGAAAGTATCTGGCAGCTGAGAAGAAGCTACCAAAACCAATTCAACTGCGGATTACAACCCTTTACAAGGTTTGCATTTCTTCTCCTTGACAGTGTTTTATATTTGCATGCCAACTTTATCTCTGAAGATGAATGAAGCATTTTGAACTATTCCTCATTCAATATACTCCTGTCTGAGCGAACATATCTAAGACTCAAGAAAGTAGGGGATACCTTACTATGCTATGCAGACAAATAAAGAAGTTCTAGAATTCAGTTTGATGTTGTGGAAATCTCAGCAGGAGACTGAAGTTTGGGAATCTCCCTGTCCAGAACGGAAGAATTCTCTGATTAATCAGGATTTCTTTAATCTACTCCCATTTTCACTGAAACCAGCAATTTCCATGCACCTCTAAAATATTTCTCATATTCTGAGGCTGTATGGTCAGACTAAATGAACTGAAATTAAGAATGCTGAGCTCTAGTATCCTAAGTAATGACTGATGATGGAAATGCCTACTAACCAGGATGTAAACTTGCTTTTCTGTTTCTTACCAGCACAGCAGATAATAATGCAAGAAGAGAAAAATAACAAGAAATATTACCTGAAACTATTTTGATTTAAAAAAGGCACGAGTTCACTTTGCAGTATTATCAGCCATTATTAAAATTTCCCCTATTTGGTACAACCAACGGGGACCTTCAACATTCAAACAGCTGCTGGTTTCCCTCTATGTCCTGAGAGATTTCCCTCACATGTTTGTGCCACAGAACTCAGGTAATTAAAATGCAAATGCTCTAATGAACTTACTGGCTTACCAAATCAGCTACTCAAATGCCTTTTAGATTTGCAACATACCCCATGAATATTTAGAATAACTTTCTCCTCTTCATAGTAGGACCTGAGTACTACGGAACTGGTTACGATACTAAAGGCTTTGCTTAGTCCTTCAGATTACTGCATAGATTTAAGCATCCTTAGTATAAAGAAATGACAGTCAACAAACTATGAAAGTCTAAAAATCAATGTTGGATTGTGTCTTAGAGATGGAGACATAAGTGGCATCCTGTTCAGACACCATGGAAGACACGAATCAATGGCATTGCCCAAAGAAGGAAGTCAGACCTTCCAACAGATCTCAGCTTGTATGAGCAACTGCACATAAGATGAAACAGCTTATCAATTTAGAGATGCAAACAGGAAAAAAGACTCAAATTTATCATGGTAAGTTTCAGGAATAGTAATGTGAAATTGCATTAAATTAGTTATGTGATGTCAGATTAATCCTTAGATGATCACAGGGGCAGGTTAAAATAGTATATGTATTTTTGCTGATTAAGGTAATAACAAAGACCCAAATATGACTTCTTTCAGAGGTGAAATTCATCCAGCTTCATTACCATAAGCAACATACATACCCACAACTGTGAAAAGACACCACATAAATAAAGCAGAATAGATACTTAAGAGTTGTCACATCCTCCTCCTCACAGAATGGCTGAGGCGGGAAGGGACCTCTTGAGATCATCTAGTCCAACACCTTGCTCAAGCAGGGTCACCGAGAGTCAGGACCGTGCCCATGTGGATTTTGAGTATCTTCAGAGATACAGACTCTACAATCACTTTGGGCTACCTAACCCAGTGTTTGACTATTCCTGCAATAAAAAATTCTTTTTATGCATTCTGATGGAATTTAAGAGGTTTTAATTTGCGCTCATTGTCTCTCATCCTGTCACTGGGCATTGTTGAGAAGAGTCTGGCTCCCTCTTCTTTATTCCATCCCATCAGCTATTTATACACACTGAAAAGCTCCCCCAAGCCTTCTCTTCTCCAGCTTGAACAGTGTCAGCCTTCTCAGCTTCTCCTCATATGAAAGATGCTCCAGTCCCTTAATTCTCTTCACAGCCCTTTGCTGATCTCAATCCAGTATATCAACATCTGTCTTGTACCAGGGAGTCCAGACCTGGAAACAGCACTCCAGATGTGGCCTCACCAGTGCTGTGCAGAGGCCTTCATACAACGAAAGTAATAAACAAAGGCAAAACAGCGTCTGAAGAGTAAACTCAAGTGATGAATTGAAACTCCAGAATAGAATATTTTATTTTATTAGAACACCTCAATAAAAAATGATTATAATGTAATCCTAAAATTAAGTTCTTTCATTGCACTGAATTAATCCAAATTCGTTCATATGAATAAGCAACATAATCCATGCCAAGAATGAAATATAATTAGTTTCCATAAAAATCTTCTGTAAAAATCTACCTTACAATTAAGTTAATATTTCCAAAGTTATCATCTCCAAATTATTTAATATTAATATGTCATATAATACTGCCACACTACTAGTCTTCACAGAGTTCAGGGAATAGGAAATATATATATATATATATTACTGCTCAAGATGAAAAGTAAAGATGGACAGAATTAGTGTGGCCCTATGGAATTCAATGCAGTTTCACCTGGTTTTGACATCAAAACTCACCCTTTCCATATAAATATACATTTGCACTCCAACCATATTTCTCAGAGAACACCATGGAGATATGCAATGGAAGTTAACATGATCATCATCTCTATAAAACAAATTCCACATGGAGTAAAAGAGGGTATAAGATATCTCTTCCCCAAAAGGACCACTCTGCATTTTTATGCAGTTTCTTTGTGAAAGATCCAGGCTCAACTAAAACAGATCAGGAACCATTTGTGACCAGTTTGAAATGGTCCTAAAAAAAAAGTAAGTTATGACCATTGATAGACCAGACCTGAAAATCTGTAGGAAAGCAAACGTAATTGCTATGTTATGCGCATCTTTACTAACAAGTCATCTTCTGGCATGAGAATTAACTTTCCTTGTCCCCTCTAAAACCTATAGCGCATGTTCCCTACACCTATTTTGTTATTGTGCACAGCACTAAACCCAGAATAATTAAAATGCAGGCACTTTAGTAATACCATTCATTTAACATAGCCATATTTAACTCTACAAGGGTTCAACTTAATTTACCTCTTAAATAGGACTTGAATTCTAAAAAGACACTGGAATATATAAATTAATTGGGACTCTCTGCCAGCAAATTACTTCACTGCTCAAACACACATTTTCTGAAAGTTTCTGTAACTTTGCACAATCTTTATTTAAGGGGATTAGACTTTGGAGGCTTAACTACTGCTGGTTTAAAAAAAACCCCAACACTATAAATTGCTAAAACTTAGTAAAAACATTTTGAAACCACCAACTGAAAACTTGTTGTCAGTAAAAACCCCACTAATTCAATAATTAAACTTCAATTTAGCCCTCTCCCTTGATTTTATTGCATCTGTATATTCTGGGGGATGGCTTGTTTACTTCTTTCATCGCACAGGAAGAGCTGCATAATCAGTCACTGAACTGATTGCAAGAAAATTCAGCTGATGACCTTGTTATACATCATCTGTAGTTAATATCTTATAAATTTGTTAAAATGGTATTTTTTACATATATGAATAAAAGTAAAAGGCAAAAACAACTGGAGTCTGCAGTGTGTGCTAGCAATCATTGCGGGTGGGTAAACTGACAACATGTAACTGCATATTAAGACAAATGTAGAATTTAGACAAAGTATTCCATCTCTTTTCAGATGTATACTTTTAAACCTCAGGAACTGTTTTCAGTAGATGTCATGCCTTTTAACTTGAAAAAAGATAAGCGCAAATAAGCTCCCAATTGTCTCCCCAATATGTAAACCACATCTCGGGCTGCTGTCTCTGTTTCGCCTTTGAAGTTTCCCTGAAATGTCATGTGTTGTGAAGACTGCTGTGCATAAGCAAGACAATTTGCTCACTCTCAGAATTCTTACCGGTTTCCACTGCTATTTGGTATCCAGCCTCTAGTCTCCGAGATGACCTTTCCAGCCTCTCTGTGTTATCGAGCAGATGTGCCCTCTGAAAAAGAAAAGGGGAGAGAGAGAGAGAGAGAGAAAAAAAATCAGCCAGCAGTCTACAGTGTTCTCCCCCCCACTTCTTAATTGTGCTTTCATATTCTAAAACACAAAAATATCCACATATATTTTATGGAGGAGCCTGTTACAAGGACCACTGGAAGGGGCAGGTTCTATGATCAATCATAATTATGTGTACCAATCATTTTTGTTTTGAAACATGGAATATGTGCTTCACTTTTATTACATGAACCCACAAAGCAGAGTGTGACTATCACATAGGAAATCTGCCTGAAGAGCATTTCCAAAACAGATCTCTCTGTGACACATGTATGCAAACACCCATGATTTCTATTCAACTACAGTTAGATGAAACCATCGCTTTAAATACAAGTGCAGATTTTAATATGAACTTAATTTTCAGCAGAGGATATATTTCCTTTATGTGTACTACTCAAGTGAGGTGATAAAAACAACAAGCTATTCATACAGAATACTGAACAGCAGGAATATTCTTCAGACTGTTTGATGTAAAAAGATGTAGAAACAAAACTCTGGTTTCTTGATTTACATCTCTTATGCCTAAATATATATATGAATATATAAATAACATACACAAGCACAGGTATGAGATATTTTTCCCAGAATTCATTTATGAGCAAACAATAAACTGTAGTGAAAATGCATCTTCCAATACATTTTTACTTGGGGAGTCTGCAATAGTGAAAAAGTGAAATTATTATTTTCATTAGTTTATTCTCCACCTAAAACACCAACATTTCAATATGTAAGCTCATTTTCTGTGGAAATTTCATCCTAAACTAGCTCTAATCAAGCCATCAAAATACCATAACCCCCCTCACAGTAAAGCAATCACACACACCCCTTTCTGCGCTACCCATAACCCCAAAAACAATATTTTGGATATTTGACAAAAAATATTTCCTACAACTTTGCCTTGTTGACAGATGTCATTTTAAAAATGAAGCAATGCTTTCTAATAATAATAAAAAAAGGAGGTGTCATACATATTATCTGAGTGGCTGTCTACCGAAACGATCTACCTTGCTCTAATGAGCCCCTATGGATCTTGGGAGATGCAAGCTGTATTGACATGCACACTTAAGCTAATACACCTAGACCAGTGCCTCCAAGCTCTAGCAGCCAGGGATGCTGACAGAATATCTCGCTTCTATCTTCAAAGAAAGGAAGTGATTAGTATGTTATCATTACCATTCAAAACGTGATTTCCCTATTCCCTCCCGGCATAGGTGACACATCTCTGAGATGCGGCCAGACGATCGAGGCAGCTAAAGCCACATCAAAGCTTGCCTTGAATTTTTTTTTTTCCTTTTTTTATTTTTTTTTTCCCCTCTCTTTTTCTTTTTTTGGAAATCATTAAAACAATGCATTTAGATCAGCACAGATAGGACCCAATGTGAAGGTCAGGAAAGCTGCAATAACAGTCTACAATAATTAATAGAGTTGTCTAATACACAGTGGATAGGTTAAGAGTAAATTGCAAAAAAGCCTTTTGCATTCATGGGGGGCAGGCCACCAAGAAAAAAGAGAAAAGAATCAGCACAAGCACTTAATAAAATTTAAAACCATAAGTTACAGCGCTGTAATTGAAATCACGACAGCAACTAGAGTGCTGCATGTTCTTAGTACTCATGGTCAATCTAGATAATTAGTGTTAATTTTGCTTAATTTTTTTAAAAAGGCACCTTTTCATAACATCTGCTGTTTCCTCTCCAGTGCCCATTAGAAGAGAAAAAAAAAGTGTAAGCCTGCAGTGCCTTTCTCCAAATACTGCCCCCCCCCAAATGATATTAAAGAACAACTGGTGTTAAATTTTTTAAACTTAATAAAAAACATCAGAAACCTAACACTGTAACATAGATGTCTCTCAAGAAAAAAGAAGTAGAAGAGAAGGAGGGGGAGGTATAAAGAAGGAGTTTGGAAGGCAAAAATCTTAAAAGTTAGAAGATACTTTAAAAAGAAAACACAGGTTGGGAGTGAGCACAAAGAATGGAAGATTATAATTACAGAACAGATGTATAATGCTGTAGTGGTATACTAGAAATGAAAGGCCTACCCTGCTATGTTAAGGGGGAAGTGGGGGGTTTATAATCATATTTCACATCACTGTGTGGAAGAGCTACCCAAGAGGAAGAGTTAGCATTTAACTGTGTATTTGGATATACTATATAACCCACATTTAATCTGAAAAGGAAATTACAAGCCCACAGTTCAGTTCAGTCTTACTGAGAGCAATTAGAATACTAAAGCCCTGTGAACTGGGTGCTAACATTAACTCAGAGCTGTTTCTTACTTGATTTCAGAACCTTTCCATCCAAGCCATTCTATAATGAAACTTAATTTATATGAGAAAGGGTGATGTTATTTATTTGTTTGGGTTTGGAGACACCCTGTTCTTTGGTTACGAAATCAGTGCCCTAGCGTAGCAGCTGATGCTTCCAACTGCTTCCCACCCCTCCCCAAACTCCTTCTCCCACAGTATCCCCTGCTCTCTGTGAGGTTGGGTAGCGAGGTGATTCAGTGCATCTTGCAGCTTCAGAAACAGCTTCTATCTGGAGTTATATAAGGAAGTTTTGCAAAGTGGCACGCTATCACTAGAGATTTAGTCATTCCATGTGGGCTGGATTCAAACTGAGATCTCAGGAGCTCAAAAGACAGAATGACACAGCCTCCGTGGAAGCCTGTGTACGGCAAGTGTGCTAGAATAGAGCCCCGTAATGAGAGGAAGCACAGGTTTTATTAACAAACACTATGGCAAACCACAATTTCTTTTAAGATCAGTTCATACCTCCTTAGGAGAACTATAATTGGGGATGCCTTGATGTTTCACTACGTGACAAGTTAAGAATTATGCCTGAGTCACCGTACTAGCCTTCATTTAAACTTTAATGTGCATTTTGCATTGGGTATAAAAACACCATTGCAATTACAACCTATCCAGCACATAGTGGGTACTAAGTGCAGAGAACAGAATGCTAACAATTGCTTATCAAATTATTTCTCTACCTGTACAATCAACCTAGAAAAAACAGCAAATCCCTTTATTTACTTCTATTTCCTGCCTCTTTCACAATACGCAGAGAGAGGAACAGGTAACTTATGAGGCTAGCAAGAAAAAGCAAAGAAGAAAATCAGCAGAAGCAATGTCAAATTTTTTTAGGTGGCTGACAAAGAGGATTTAAAAGCTCCATAAGGTACGACTGAGTTCAGTATAACTCCCAAGTTGCAACAACATCCTAAATTTTATTTGCCTTCATAGCCATTTCAAAAAGAAGAGCAGTTAAGTAGCAGCCTTGTTCTTTGCATCTGATTCAATTTTCAGAGTAAATTTATAAATTAGGAATCTTTATGTTTATAAAACTATAACCTATGTTTGCAAGCAAAAATGAGCCTACAACACTGTTTTACAGAAGCACAGGAGCAGATGTGCATGTGTTGTTAAAGGGATGAGCAAATGAACCTTGTTCTGAAAAATCTCAGAAATCAGGCTATACAAACCCTTGCAACAATATTGTCATCTGTTTAAATACTGGGACTATTGGGGAGGGTAGCTCAGCAGTGGTGGGAGGGCTTTCATGTGGTTACATGTTTATTTTGTTTAATGTTTTTCCTGGTTTACTTTGTAGCTTTAACATATTAATATCAGCTCCACAAGAAGAGGGAAAAATAAAGCATTCAGGGTGGAACAATCTTTACATCACAAATATCTTACTGTTTTTAAGAATTCTCTGTAATTGTCCTTAATCTGGTTACTTTACAATTCTTTGTCATCACCATTTCTAAAACTTACAAATCCTTTCCTGCAGAGTTCAGTATTCAATACTGATATGTCTGGGAACACGTTTCAAAAAGAAGATACCAGACAAATATGTGATGCTAAAATACTCGTGCTTCTAAATATATTTATTCAAATACTTCACTGGTTCCAACTCTCTGTATGAAACCCTTCAGAAATCTGACCCATAAGTAATCTTGCCTTTACTGAGACCTTCTTGGTACCTATGAGGAAACAATAACAATAAAGCATTTCAGATACCTGCTTTGCTACAGTAGTGAGTAACAGAGATTAATTTCAGAAAATATACTGAAACATTTGAGGAACTGACCATTAAAACAGGCTTCTCTCTCTCAATATTTATGAGTCATTTTATAACTGGAAGAAAGGTGTTCTGGAATACTGATCTCTAGCGTTACACCTACAGATCTACAGCACTCACAAATACATAATAAATATTGATATGTGCGTGTAGGTCTACCTGTACTGTGTTTGCAGTGGATAGACAATATCCAGCATAATACATAAACTACTTGAATAGCTCACACCAAACTCAACCACTGTGAAACACTGTGTAATTTTTACAGTGTTTCAGCACAGGTTTTTACTAAAGCAATGCTTTCACTTTCAATACCAGAGTATAAATGTATTTACCCTATCAAAGATTTTGTGATGTAAACATGATTATTACTGTACCTGATTTGATGATCATGGTATTCTAGCAGAGATCAAATAATACTGGGGGTTTTTTTACCCTTCTTTTTCTAGTGCTTTTAAAAAAAATTTCCACTATCAAAGAATGTTAATTTCTAAGGTTTGATCTAGAGATTCCCATGTAAGTATACAATTATTAGGGAAAAAGAGGCACAACAGTGAATATTTTAAAGCAATGTAATCAATATTTTTGCTTTGTGCAGATTTCCCTGCAACAATGAACAAAAAGATCTACTTCAGATTTAGAAACTCAGCTTTAAAGGGAAAGCTAGACAACAAAAAGCAAGAAAGTACTCACCTCTTCACGTAATTTTATCAACTGCAACATGAACGCACAGAAAAGATAAAAAGGAAAGAAATGGCAGGAAAGAAAGATCAGTTGTGTGACAGGATACAGAATTAACATTGACAATTTATCTGTTTACATGTTTAGCATTTAAAAATCACAGACAAACACATTAAAAGAACCTAAACATAGACTACATGCAGAGTTTTTTGAACGAATAAAGATCACTTTCTCACACTGTCACATTAAACAAAGAGAATAGTGTGAAATTCTCTTTTAAACCACATCTAAGACACCATCATGAAATAAAGGGGAATGACTTCATAGAAGTCTATATTATAAAGAAAAAACAAGTTTACTATTCCTCTCTTCGAAGATTGTACAGCTGAAGTGGTTTTGTATATACAAGTTTTCAGAATGTTTTCTGTATATTTTAGTTGTGACAACTGATTTCTTATTTTACTAGCAGATCTAACTTATTAATAGATGACTGCATCTTAACTGTATTTCAATTTTTATATACCTGAGTTCTACTGTAACTGTATTATCTAATTTTATTATTGAACCTCATATAGAGGGGTTTTTCCAGCTTAAAAAAAAAAAAAGGAACAGCTTAGATAAATGGCTGAGAATTATGATTTATTGCATAGCATATTTAAAAATAGACAAAGGAATAGGGAACAACACAAAAAGCATTTCCCTCAGAAAAGACCCACTCCAGGTTCTTAATCCTAGACCACTACTCAGTGTGTGCACATTTACACACAGTGTGTCTGTGTATACTTACGCAGCATATACATTTCTATTTATCAATTTATGCTTATAAATTAACACAATCTAGCACTACTAATAACATTGCTCTGGCAGGTTTACTATTAAACTAAATATAAGCCCAGTCTGATTATCAAACTATGTTCTAATATGCTCTCCCCTTAGAGAGACAGATAAATCATTTGTACTGGAACAAAACGTATAATTACAACAAACGCCTGCATAAGAGAGGCTCTTTACAAAAAATTACAGTTCTCTCACCGATTCCAGTTGAATTCAAAATTACAACAGCAACATCATTATCTCAGGTTATGCTGATATTTCACCTACAGTTTCATAATGTTAATTTTCAACACATGTGTAAGCTGAGAATGTTTACTACTAATAAAGTCTCACCAGCATGAAGGAAACAAAAGAACCTCCATTATTCTCTACTGTTTCACATGGCTCGTCTAGAACTGAATGTATACCTCACCCCGCCACCAAAACGGACAAGGCTCTAACAAGATGTAATTAGGAGGGCTACTACCACACAGACTTAAACTGAAATGGCTCTTTAGTACGTAGCTAAAGGAACTTTGTTAGAATTTTGTATAAAGAAAACTGCGTTTTCCGCCAAACCAGCGCTTAAATTCAAGTGCTTGGCCTATCATAAATTGGTCTCTTTCTCCAGATCTTCCCCCCCTTTTTTCCCCAAAAAGGCAAACATTAAGGCTCCTTAGAAAGAGACGATCTGGGAGTTGATCACATAGCTATCTTTTCTTTCTGAGGCCACCATTCTTCAGTTGGCTATGATACTTAAAGGGCCAAAGTTTAAAACTACTCTCCCGCAATAGAGCCCGTTTGGGCATGCCACCCTGCTATAATCAATGAGAGTTTTAAAATGCTGCACATTTGTTTTTTCAATAGGTCCCAAACAAAAATGTTCTATCTTGTTTGTGCTGCATGGCTGAATTTAAGCTCTGCATGGGATTTGCAGCTAAGCTAAGTAATGGGAGAGGGTTTGGGTTTTTTTTTTCTAACATTGGCTGAAAGATATTCATTCAAATTAACAAAAGATGTATTTTTCCCCCATTTAACAATGCTCTTCATGAAAATGTGCTACCTCTACGTTTCTGTTTTGAAACCTTATTTTTATAATGCTCACCGCTTAACTGCAAGCAGCAACAAGCCGTGTGCAGCCACCATTTTAGGTTATGATAATCAGCGTATTTTTGAAACAAAGATGATTTTTGGGGGGTTTGTGTTTTTTTTTTTTCGCAATACGGAATTCGATACAAGAGGTAATCTGCTCCTTTGTAGGCTGGGGAAAAAAAAAACATAAATCTGGTTTACGCTGGTTTGAACCAGTGGAATCTCTTGTGGCTAAGCCTTCTGCTGTGACTAAAATCAAAACTGCGCCGCAGAGAGCGAGATGGGGGATGTGTGTGTATGTGTGTGTGTGTGCACGCGTGTATGTGTGTGTGTGTGTGTGTGTCTGTGAGGCACATCACGTGGCATAGAAAACTACTGACTTTTTTTTATAAGGCTGATAACGCCACCGCCGTCTCTGTCCGCATACAGATAACGAATAAATGCTGAACTCTATTAAACGCCCTTTACACATTATCGTGGGTCGAACACACAATTTTCTGAACTTATGATGACAGTCTATTTATTTTGCTATAAACCCTCGGCATGTAACGAACAGATTTGTGTCTGGTAATGATCTGCTCTGCCAGGGCTATACGAAATGATACCGACCTTCTTTAGATCTTGGGGAATTAAATTGACCAACTTCACCCCCTGGTCTGTAGCTGAAGTTTGACACACTTTATGCACAGCAAGCCCAAATCTAATATTATCACAACTTTGTAGTCAGAAATTAAGTAGCCACAAAATATTTGTTCACCGCAAAACACATATACAATATATGTGCATAGGGACACACAATTTAACCTAATGCAAATTCATTTAAACTTATTAATGAACACAGCTGAGAAAGAGAAAGGAACACTAGCACATTTCAAGAAAGTCGGTAACACCGTACCTGATATTTTAGTTGAGAAGGATTTCTGATTTAACACAATACATACTTTCTAGAAAAACATACAAATTGCCACACAAACCAGTTGTATTATTATTCAAGTGAAGCCATAACTTTCAGTAGAGCACTAAAAGCCACAAAACTTTCAAGAGATTTGATAAATGCTGGTGACCAGAATGACAAAACAAGACTTGAAAATAACACAGCCCGTTTAAACCACTCTTGGGAAATAAGTAACAACCCAATGCACACAGTAGGTTTTGGGGTATGGGGTTGTGAGGTGGGTTTTTTTGATGTAAGGAGGGATGTCTTCAGATTCTCAACCTCTGTATGTGCCTCATCTGACTACATTCACATAGTTCAAATTAAGAAGAAATTAACATATATTAAGCAATGATCTACTAAACTCGGAAGTGCATACAGAGCACTTATACCGCTATCTATGTCATTAGATAAGGATGCAGTTACTTCAAAAGAATTGTATAATTCCTACAACCTGCAAGAAGTTTCCATATGCTTTATCTGGTACAATTAGTTAAATCTTCGTATAACCATTATAAGGCAACTGTGTTGTAAGTTGTCATCCACACATGATGATTGGTACTTATGGGAGACATACTGGGAAAATTAAGACGAAAGATAATTTGCTAATTCTTCAATCTGTTCTTTGTACTTCAATCTTTCTTCTTGGGAGAACAACTCATACCTATGACAGCTTATAACTTGGCTGTGGTTTGCTGTAATTGTACCTTTGAAACTCAACTGAAAAAACACAAGTGCCCCGTTTGTTTCTAGACACTTAATACGGTCATATTACCCAATACATATTAAGTTCTTTTTGTCTTCTCACTCCACCAAAACCATTTATGCAAACATTTATTATGATGACAAAGACCACGCCTGAAACACGTAGCTCATACCTCGTTTCCCTTGGGGGACACCCCAGTCTAACCAGATATCCAGCATTTCTACTGGCAGATTTTACCAATATTCCTAGATTGGTACAAGAGCAATTCTGAACTGGCAATGTTTTTCCACAGCTCCTCTGTCAGAAGAGGAATCCCTTCTCTCTCCTTTTAGTTTGGTGACTGAATTGGGGAAAAGAAACCCATCATTTTCCAGTTTAACAAATTTAATAATCCAAACTGATTCAGAAGCAGAAATCCTACAATAGTAGGGTGAAGGTCAGTCCATCTACCTGATTTATTTCCATCAGACAAAATGAAAGCAAGAAATGGAAGCATCTCCAAATATTTTACATGGCTGTAAGTTATACCTGAGCATCCATTCACCATCTAGTCCAAATTTGCTATTGATATAAATGCATCAGAGTGAGAGTGCATTAGACCTGGAGTTACTGAGTTAAATATATCAATATAACATATTCAGCGTATGGCAAGTACCCGAACCTTATACTTGATTTGGATAGCTGTACATTCTGATAAGCTCAACATCAGGCTAAAGTTTTTGCACTTAGTGACTGTACCCATAACTACATGCATGTAAGATAAGTAAAAAAACATAAGTAATGACATTTAATAAGAAAAAAAGAGATTGCAGCATTGATTATTGGAACACCACAATAAATAGTCTTTTTTTTCCAAATACTGGCATTCACATATTTAAAACAAGTTAGGTGACTCCTTACATGGTGGTATTTCACAACATTTTTCAAGGAAGAAAAGAAGAAATTCAGAACTTTCAAAGGCATAGTTGGGTTATAGAAAAGGATTTTGATTCCCTGTAAGACTAATCAAAACTTCTTTAACAGCCAAAATTTTCTTCCATTTATGAAGTGGTCATTTGGAAGAAAAAAACCTCATGTTGAAGGTATCATTTGGTTCCTTGAGACGAGACCATGTTTATTCCATCAAGTTTAGAATACAGATCATAACTTGCAAAAAGTGCACATGAACCAGTTATTTAATTATTCCTTAAAAAATGAAAATAAAATATTTTATCTCATCCCTCCACATAAGATATTCTATTATAAGTAAAGCTTCTTATCACAATTGCCCTTTTATGTCTGAATTCACATCAGTTTTTTCTTGAAACTTAAAAATAGAAGCACCTTAAAAGAAATAAGAATCTTAACATTTTCACAGGACTGAGTTTATGATCATGACACAGAAACTGTGGAACTATTTTACCTAAAGTCAGCCTTCCTGTAAAGGGGATAAAAGGGATAAAAAAAAAAAAGTCTATTTTATTCAAATTTTGGAATCTCCCCTTGCTATAGTATATGAATATGAAGATTAGTATCTTTTAAATTTAATTATTCACACACCTCTTAGAGCTGCTATACTTAAGTGTTATGTTTACAGGTTAGTTCTAGCCTGTGTATAGTTTCATTAATGTATGTATTAAAGTCTATTACAGAGTTTAAAATGTATACATCACATTTAAAATACTGGCTAAGGTTAAGGCTTAAGAGATCCGTACCTTAAAATTCATTGTATTGGGATAAATCTCTAAGTCTTTCTTTCTTTTTTATCCTTAGTGGAACTGAGCTTATATTAAGACAGACAGAAGATATCTGTTATACTAAGATAAGGTAGAAGATATTAAAAATTTCAGAACATGTTTCCACTCTGTTTCCTTGTCTAATACCACGTTTATCAAATAAACTTTTACACAATTTTCACTTTCACTTCCAAAATAATCTAATAATTCTATCTGGTCAGAAAAGACTATCTGAGAGTTAAGAAAACTTTCAAATCATTTCTGACCCAAAATGCACACCTGTGATTACAACTAACACGATTTTCAAAAAAGAAAAGAAATACTCAACTTTCAGACAGCTTGTCAAACAAGTTTCAGCACCAAAAGGAGCCTTAACAGATGGGTCAAAATCCCCTGAATATAATATTGCCCTTATAATTTTCACTAGTCTAGCAGGACCCTCACTGTAGTGTCCAAAACAACAATATGGGTACAAGATTTTTAAGAAGTCTCAGGATTATCAAGCTTTCCTTCATTAACAGAGATGGATGGCACTCTGCATTCTAGGACAACACGCATTATGAAAGCATGCTCTTATTAGTACAACTTGTGGTTTTGGTACAAGGAGAAAAAAATCTGTTTAGGGAAGGAATCACACAAGGAAACCGAGTGGGGTACTGCCTAATTCTGAGAGCTCACTTTCATTTGTTTTGCCTGCCAGTGTTGATTTAATTATACTGCATTATTATCAAAGCTGCATTATGTACTTTTTCTATTCCTTTTACATGTGTTTGAGGTGAAGACCTTGGCTTTGTCGGCAAACAGTGCTTTTCAAGTTATTTTTTAAGTACTAAATAATAAATAAAAGAGAAGAAAAGATTTTTTTTATGATAGCAGACAGTGATCACAAGTTAAAGGGTTAAATGTAAGATCTCCAAGAAACATTTTGAAGTTGATTAAGACCCCAGCTTTGCATTAAACAGTATCACTTCCACATGAGTTGTTGCTAATGCTGTTAAGGAGCAGCTTGAGAAGCCCAGTGTGCCAGTGACCTCCTTCACCCTCCAGCCACCCACTAGGGCTTCTTGATTAGCATCCTACCTGGTTCTCTGAGGAATTCCCGTCATCCCCTAGGAGCTCATTCCGCACCTCATCACTGTAGGCGATTCGTGACCTTTTCTGTAAAACAAAAAGAAAAAAAGGGTTAGGAAGTAAAGCTCCGAAGCCCTTGGTATCAAGGCTGATCATCTTAAACCTCGAGAGCCCCCTAATGGATACCTATTTGATAAAAAAAATTAATCTGCAAGTAAAAAGTTAACAAAAAGTTCTTCAATTGCTGTACTTTGACAAATAGGCATGAAAATCCTTAGCATTTCTAAGACAGTCACACCCTCAGCATTTTAGCAATGAAAGCAGCTTCAGTGAAGCTCAAGATATATAACGTGCAATCCCAGTCCTAATAACCAGGTAACCAGGAGAGGCAACATGCACTAACATCAGAAGCACCAAATGCATTTTTCTGGAGAACTTGCTAGCTAGATGCAGAACTCAGAAGAGCACTGCAGTGATGCCACTAAACAGGAAAGGAAGACTGAGCTGTTCCCCTGTTAAAAAAATTTTACACTTGAACAACACACATTTGACAAAAGTGGTTGAACTTGAAGATGTAAAAAATTTAACAAGTGTTTCCTATGCCACCAAGGCTATGAAAGCCTATTGGGAAAGGACCAGAAAGCAAAGGGAAAAAGAAAGGAGAAAAGGAATACCCTTGTACTGTAAACAGTAGCTTACAGTAGATACTGGGAACACCACAAAACTGAGACAGTCATTCATTAGATTATGACAGATAGTCACAATTCACAGCTTATGAGCACCAGATCTGCTCATAAACGGATCACCATATTGACTCTAAACTAGATCAAGTGAAAAGCAATGGAAAGCAAATGTCTGAAGATTACCAAGGTAGCCCAGCGTTGCATGGAACAACGGGGAAGTTCATAAAGAGAACATCAGCCTAGCTTTCAAATTCCCTGTTGGCCAAAAAACAGGCCCTTAGTCAGTTAATATTTCTACACTCGCTATTAAAAGAGACATAGGATTTTTAATAAATTGGCTGAAGTCTTGTTACATTTGAGTGTGGTTATGATAAATTTTACACTTCATCAGAGGAAGAAATCCAAGAGTAGCAAGAACTAAGCTGTAGGGCTTTCCTTCACTGGTGGGAACTTCCCTCACACTCCGTCATGGTAGTCACTACCAGTAGGAACTACCAGATTACTCCTCGAACCTCCCCTAATTGGACAATCATTCCGAAAAAGCATACACGAGACTGTGGCACAGCAAACAACCCACTAGAATTTATACTGAGCACAAGGAAACTCATTACCTTTGCGACAAAGAAATTTGGAGGGGCATCACCCCTTACACTGGCAACCTGGCAGTGGAGTAAGCCTTGTCTTGGTCATCTCAGAGCAACACATTTTAGCTTTTTAGTCTGCACAGTTCGCCCTTTGTTCCCATCATCATCATTACAATGCTTAGTGATTTGTGATTCAGTTGCTAGTGTTCAGATCTAGATTATATACTAAAGCTACAGATGTACGTAGCAAGGACAAAGCATACTATGGACCTACTACAAGAGATGAAATGTGCCAAATCTTTTGGAGATCTCAGCTGTCACAGTTTCATACTAACCAAGCTAAAGTAGTCTACAGCATTAAAGGAAATGAGAACCTTTAAACAGGCTGTGGTATCAGAGCTGCCTGTTTAAATTATTCATTTCATCACTATGGGGGACTAAAACACTCCACAGTATGCAAGAATATCATATGGAGGTAGGTTTTGTTTTTCTCTTTTTTCACCAAAAAGCCAACAAATTGCCATAGATTGCTCAATTATATTATTTTCCTATTTTTATTTGATACACATCAAAGAAGGGGGGAAATTTTAAATATGTACCAATAAATATCTGATCTTCTTTTCTGATTAACATTCCATCTTCCCATTTGAGGTCTAGCAGTTCAACTGTACAGTCTCTCCCAGTTTCACAAAATGACTCAGCCCCATTGATTCTGTTAAGTGTTGAATGTATTTATCATTATTAGAATGAGATGAGGAGCATGATGCTTCATGAGCTTGCTCTCCAGTGAACAAGTTGCCTGATTATATGTAGAGACTGAGGTGGTTCCTGGTTAGATATAATTTATTTGAAAGGTTTAACTAGCTGATATTTTCACTCATAAGAGCCTGCATGGCAAAAATTAAAAATAGTATCTGCACAGGAAGGAAAATAATATTAATAGCAATGCAATATTTAGAGGCCCTTTACAATCCTTTATATCAGCACCACTGAACTTAATAAATATATCTGCATCATTTTTCTTTTATTGCAATTATCTGTCATGATCTGAAAATCAGTAATTATATTAAAAGAAATAACCCTTTGACTACAATTAGGTATAACTCTTTGCCATAATCAATAAATAATTTGATACTACTTTTGATCACAGTTTCACTACCAAATGAATCAATAATATAAAAGGAAAGGCCTTTGAACTAAAGTGTTCCCTTGTTCTTTCAGGATTTGTCCAAAATATCAATATCTTGAATTACTATTCTTATTTTTATTAAAGTAATACTGGCTAACACTTGTAAATGTGGCTATCAAAATCAGTTCAGTTTGTCTGAACTCAATAATTAAATACTGTTTAGATTTATGGGTTTTTTTTTAGTTTATAACTATCAGCTGTTTATAAATATGTACTTTAGCCAAATGCAAGAATGATAGTTTGAGCTGGAAATGTCACACACTCTGCTACAGTTTGAAGGAAACCAATTCATAATGCATTTTATAAATAGTTAATGACTTCTATACATAAGCTAACCAGGCAAATCAAGAAATTGTCAACATTTTTAGTCTTAGTTGTCAGTTACCACTGTCTACTGGTACTTTATATGTATGTTTCTAGAAAAGACAGAAGCTTTACAGAGTTTGTAATCCAAGGCATTTCTGGGCAGCTCCATATAGGTTTAAGAGGTTCTGTGTGCAGTTTTTTTGCATGTAAGGGCCTGTCATATACAGAAGTTTCCTTGTATTTTCTATTTTCTTGTAGATACCTATACGGAAAGTCTAAGCACACAAGTTTTTAACCCAGTGTACGTGTTTGCATCCAAAGGTAGCATTGCACACAAACACACAATAACACAAAAGGGTTAAGCTACTTTCTACAAGAACTTCCAAGACAGAAAGTTGCAGAGGCTGTTTTACATGTACTACAGTAACCAGACCTTCTGACAAGGAAGAATTTCTGATTCCAGGCAGACCCCTCTTGGTTTATGAACAGGATTTTTGCATACTGATTGGGTGATTTCCTTAAAGCCCTGTTCAAACAGATACACTTGCTCAGTTCTGTCTGGCAATTTGGCTTTAAACAATCTGTCTACTTGACCCAAGCCTTAACATTTCCCAATAGAACTGAATGTGTTCGTGGGCAAGCCCAGCTAAATTAGAATTGAAATGAATTAACTCAGCTTAAACTAATTAAGATCTGTGATCTGCAGCACCACCCCCCTGTATGATTCTACATGTGAAGTAGGGTACATGTAACCAGACTGTAAGAATTCTGCTATACTACTAATCTGAGCATACCAATGAAGTTCGTCTATTACTAAAGCATATGAGAAGTTAATTTCCATGGCCTACACATGGCAAAGCAATTGCTTAAATTGCCTCACCTGGGAATTTAATACAATGTTATCATCAGACCAGCCACACTGTAAATAGATTTATAATGCTTTCCATGTGCTAGGCTAGGTTGCATATGAATTAAGTAATGATCTGGTATTACAATACAATCAGCTAGTTCCCACACCTGGCAGACAGGATATTTTGCTAAATTACTACCTATACAGATACATCACAACATAAAAAACAGAAAAGGCAATGGGAAGAAACAATCTACAATCGGTGTATGACGATTTTTGCATGGTAACCAAATAAGATGTAGATAGAAAGAGGTATCCAAAATAATCTGTTCCCAACATCTGCACAACAGAACACATACTTATTCATTTCTATTCAATTTTGGCCCAATATTCTGCATTCTGTACTTTAATTACCATCCACATTCTGAAATGCTCCCATTAGCGAAGGCCAGAACTAGCCAATGTCCCCTCACTCCAATGCACTTCCAGAAATCAGGCAAATAATTGATATAAAGCATAGCACATTTTCATACCTGAACTAAAGAATAGCTTTCCACCTCCTAAATGCTAAGCAGCCCCTGGAACAGGCAAACAAGTCGAGGTGCATTTCAGACAAAAGGCCCAGCAAATCTTTCCGTCCCAACCTCTCAGTTTTTCAGACTTAATGCTTTAAGAACAGATGAAACAGATTGGTTTTGGTGAAATATGTGTAAACAAACAAAATGGCTTATTTATCCACAAACATCTGTTTTGACACAGAACTCATTAGAATTTCCTAGTACATATAAATGCTTTAAAAAAAAGATCTTCAAGCATCTGTTTTAGAGTTTGGCCCTGCTCTAGATGTAAATAAATACTCCAGATTAGCATAACCAGAAATAATTTGTAGGAATAAATTAATTTTATGTTGTGTTCTTCGTGAGCAGCCAGTTTTGTCATTGCTCTTGCTACAAGCAAGGTGAAAAAAAGTGACCTGATCTTCAAATGGACTGTTAGATACTGCAGAATGTACACTTTCATCTCTGCCTTTTGGAATAGATACTTAACCAGGTTTTGCTGAGCAGAAATGGAAAAGATACAGTTAAACAAATCTAGAAGAAAAATAAGTGACCCTAATTAACAATCTTAAAGTCTGTATTTAAACAGAAACACAAAACCAGGAAATAATTTCTTCAGAAAACAAATGAATTTGCTCAAGAAGCTGTGTTCAAACTTCAGCTTCCAAGTTTTCTACGTTTCTCTGTACAGGTGATCCAGGAAGAATAGACTAGACACTTCAGATTGCAGTTTGAAAGGGGTTTTCCTGTCCCTGAATAGCTTACATGTTACTCTAAGAAGCAGGAAAACGATTCCATAGTGCTAATATACAATCTGATGCAATATTGGACTTTCAAGTATTCCCTGATGAAAATAAAACCCCAAAGCTGACATATTTCTGTCCAAAAGTATATCAAAACTATTTTACAAATCCTATT